ACAAACCAATACTGCATATGTGTGCGTTCCTTAGAGAAAAAGGCTATAGAAAGAAGGTCGCTGCTTAGGTTGCCGAGAATACGTAAATTCCCCTACTATGTTTTCAAGAACAAGTTTTTCAAAGAGTTACGTCTGTTTGTCTGTGGTTATAACATGTTATAACCATGTAGTTCCATATCATCATCATCAGCATAAAGCATAGGAGGTCTAAAAACTTGTTTAAATATTAGAAGTTTATTCTTTAGGCAAAGTTTGGATTTCCTATTTATAAAAGGATACACACATTTTATATATTTGTCGAGGTGGCGTTACATCTAAATCTCAATTCTAGATGCTCGAAAAATCTCGCACTAAAAAAAATCTTCTTTCATTTCCCGCATCTACTTGCATCGCGCATCTTCTTTTTGCAGGAAATCTTCAGAATCATCAGAATGATGACTATTGCAAAAGCATATTTGCACTCATACTGCGACCACTGATCTACACGAATATGTTCGGGAGTTTTTTTTTTTCGCTGGAAAGCCTCGGGATCGCGTTGGCGCCTAATTTGGAAGGTGCCGAAGAGGAACGGGCCCGAAAGATATTGAAAGAGACTACAGCAAGCAGTGAGACCGGAAAGTTCCCTACATGCTTGTTGTGGAAACACGACCATATCGAGCTACCGGATAGCTGGCCTAAGGAAAAAAGCGTTTAGGATGTTTGTAGGAACGACTACAGAAGCATCCAGAATTGTACGATGCTGTACGCCGGCCGATAGCAGAATTCCTGTCTAAAGGATATGTGCACGAGGCGACCAAGGACGAGTTGAATAGCTTCGCGACGTACGTGATACTTGCCTCTCGGTATCGTGGTTAACTAACCAGTTAGGCTTCGGAATATTATAAGTTGAATTTTGGAAGCGTTGGGAGAAATATAACACGATGACTTAGCGGAAATGTGTCATCGGCGAACAAAGATTTTTGGCAACTCTGAGGCAAATCAGGAAGGTCTGAAGTGAAAATGTTATACAATATAGGCCCAAGAATGCTGCCCAGACGAACTCCTGCTTTAACAGGTAATCGTTCAGATATGGAATGTTGATAATTTACCTGAAGAGTTATGGCAGTTAAATAATTTTGAACTAATTTCATAATATATAGAGTGGAAAATTTAACTTTTTAAATTAAGCAATCCAACCTTCATGCCAAACACTGTCGAATGATTTTTATGTTTAGAAGAGCAACTCGAGCAGAGCAGCCTTCAGATTTGTTTCTAACAATTTATATCTTTATTGCTTTCAGTTACTGATCACCCATTACATATAGCATTGTCACCAGAATACCTGTGTGAACCGGTGGTAGATAGAGTTGGTTTTGAATAATTATAATAAAATAAATAAAAACTTGAGAGGTGAGTGAAGTAATGGAACACTGAATTAATTATATGATTTGTGTAGTAGCTATACTGAAGATCCGAGAGATGACGCCCCTTCAGTGGTATGAAAATCATTTTTGCAGTATGGAGAATATCAGAAATACACGATTTGTGACTAAACATGCTTTCACAGAAGAAAACAAATAAACGAGTGTTTACCTTATCACCATAGTAATGTACTCGTGCAATTTTTGTGCATCTAAAACTGCCCATAAAGACGATAATCAATAAAAACTGAAAATTTTCATGCATTTCCAAATGGTTTCCTACCATTCCAATACATTCGAAAGTGACTGGCCCTCTGGATGTGGATGATGTCAAAAACAACATCACATGATTAAATTGAGTTAAACTAAATTAGAGTGAAGCGTGACAGAAGTGATAATAGAGAGATGCGAACAAAATCACATGCTTAAGCCTGGTACGCAGCTGAAAAGAAAACGGAAAGTAATTTTTGAGGATTTTTCCCAAAAGAAAATTTGACAGCTATAGCCTGCTAAATTTTAAGATTATAGGGAGATGTCGTCAAATTGTAAAATCAACACTTATTAGTGTTTATGTTGTTTAAATGCATCCAAAACATCAGTTTTGCAATAAACGCCAACATTACCTAACGGAATAATTGATCAGACCATTATTCCGCAAGGAAAGTGAAATTGCATTCAGAATGCGCCACCTTCATGTCGATCACGATACTAATGTAATCGATCTTTCCTTTACCGATTTCTTTTGAACTGCGTACTGGGTCAAGAAATGCTGAGGAAAAGTAATTTCTTTTGCATTCCGTGTCCTATCCCGTAGCACGTAAAAACGTCATTACTTTTCAGCTGCGTACCAGGCTTTAAGCAACCGGTGAACACTCGTGTTTATTTCAGTTACCGTGGGGACGTAATTTGTGATTAGTCCCGGTCCCTTTCAAATTGTATCATTATTTATGTATGGTCCTAATATTTGAAATGACGTTTCACATTCATCTAGTGGTGGCCGATTTTCATTTGAATAATCGATTAATCGATTGGAAGATTGCCGTAAAAGCTCGACGCAGATGTCGCCACTGCATAATGATGATAATGTTGACAGACTGCATATAAAATTCGTGAAAATTAGCATTAAATCATAATTTTTATCAAGCCTGCGTAAAATCCTTCCAATATAACATTCGAATTGAAGAAGAAAATGTTTTCACGATCAGACTGATGTGCATCTTTGACTTTTCCAGATGAACTTTCATAAGATATATTCATTTAATTTCACAGCTCCATCAATGCTGCATCGTACATATGATGTAAACAGAAGTAAATTGCTCAATTACTCAAAATAAAGATGATTTATCATCTTGTTATCACTTTATAAACCATCGAGTACCATTTTACAGTATGGTGCGTGTTGAGTAAATCAAGTTCCGTTGCGTTTTTCGTCGAAAATTGTGAGTATCAATATGTTTACCTATAAAAGGCCAAAATGAACATTTATTGAATATTGGCGTCCTCTTCAACCATTTCTCCATTATCACCAGCATGATACAATCTTTCCTAAGTAAATTAACTTAATTTCCACTTTCATCCTAGTGGAAATCGCACATATTCACCATTTTCCGAAAAATGCAGCTGCGCAGGAGGTAACCTCTACCTGTGGGTGCAAACTTGTTATGCATAATTTACCATGAAAACATCTCCGATCTATACCGAAATAATAACAGTTAGTTTGCAAACACGTTTTCTTACACGATTTAAGCAAAAGTTTCCACCGGAAATTATTAATTTTTCTTTATGTACTGATTTGCCCCAAAAATCGTCTGTTTTACTTGGATAATTTGGAAACTTTCCTCCTTCTAGTAGTTCTCACTTCGAAATGTAGGTGGCAAAAGCTTGGAAAAATTTCACTGCAAGACGCCAATTAACGAACCAAAAAGTAAAATATTTGCAATCGGTTATATCATGCCGATATAAGCATTAACATCTCCAGAGGATCATCACCGATCGTTTCAAACATGTGCTGCACTCTCATTGGTGGAAAAATGGCAGCACAGCGAACAAAAAAAAAATCGATTAGTTGTTAATCGAGTAATTAAAAGATGGGACATCTCTGATTTTGATCAAAACAAAATGAGCGCAAAATTTCATCTCTATCGAGGGGGCAGAAAAACCACAAAATTACCTTGAATACGGGGGATATTCATTGGATGAAAGGGACCGTGAAAGAGAACACTCAAATGGAAAGTTTTTCTTCCGACAGTTTCATCTTAGTATTCATCTTTGCTTTAAGCCTGGTACGCTGCTGAAAAGAAAACGGAAAAGTAATTTTTGAGGATTTTTCCCAAAAGAAAATTTGACAGCTATAGTCTGCTAAATTTTGAGATTATAGGGAGATGTGGTCAAATTGTAAAATCAACACTTATTAGTGTTTATGTTGTTTAAATGCATCCAAAACATCAGTTTTGCAATAAACGCCAACATTACCTAACGGAATAATTGATCAGACCATTATTCCGCAAGGAAAGTGAAATTGCATTCAGAATGCGCCACCTTCATGTCGATCACGATACTAATGTAATCGATCTTTCCTTTACCGATTTCTTTTGAACTGCGTACTGGGTCAAGAAATGCTGAGGAAAAGTAATTTCTTTTGCATTCCGTGTCCTATCCGGTAGCACATAAAAACTTCATTACTTTTCAGCTGCGTACCAGGCTTTAGTGAGGGGAAATTAACGGAGGTATAAAAACGAGCTACCTAAGCTCGTAGAGGTGATTCTTGTAACTAACTTTGGAAGCGATGGAGACCAAATAGCAGCAGCAGCAACAGTAATAAAACAGCAGTATGGAAGCAGATCAGCCGAGATTCGTGTAGCCGTGACCGAGACTGAAGACCTCCGTCCGGTCACGACAATACCCTACATAGTACCGTTTATGTAGGCACCGTACCACTAGCAGTGGGACCTTCATGATACTGAAGCTGTTAAACATAAAGAAAGCGTTCAAATATGGATCAACAGGTCTGTGCCATAAGATGCTGCATGCTGACATCATGAATGAACGCGATGAACCCCCATTCATCAGTTTGACATCCAATGGTGGTTTGTTTACCTTTGCTTGTTAGTCAGTTCAAGTGGATTTGAGTTTTTAAATGAAAATAATTAAAATATGTGGTATCCGACTATGTTCGTTTGAAAAATATTCCTCTCCAAAAAATCTAAAAAAAAAACATTTAATAATTTTTAAAGTCCATGTAAACAAACCACTGCCAGATGTCTAAAAAGTTAGGTCAACCCGACGGTGCAGCTCCCTATAATAACAGAGGAAAAAAAAGGACAGCGTAGAAAGCAAAATCGCGCCTTGAACTTGTTTGTATGTCTGCTCCTCGGCCTGCTCTTTATAGGTAGCATCATCAATATCACTTTCGCTAACGTCGCCATTTGGGCCGGTTCTCGTGTTGAATTGATTAATTCTAGTTATATGTGAGTGCCATCCTCTATACTTACTTTTGTATGATTATCAGTGCTTTGCAAGAGTTCAAGTTGGTTTTTAAGATTAGCTTTCCGTTTACTGTTGAATACGGTGATAACGCATTGATTTAATTTTGTCCAATTTATGTTTCAGAACACCTCAGGGAATTAGGAGTAGTTGGCTATTTTGTGAAGCAATATGAGTTCCACTATTGAAACCATGGTAAGTAATGAATTTTGTGATGCTTTCAACTTTTGAAATCTGTAAAAGATGAATATTAAGAATGAAAGGGTTTCCACGTCAAGCTACACTGGCTGCACCCAATCGGAGATTGCAAGAACTTGCAATAAATCACCACGAATTCAGATTCTGTAATGCAGCAATAGGGAAGCTGTATGATCCATTATTTTTAATTAACGTTTGCTAATTTTATGAATTGGACCTATTAAGTCATCTAGTTATTACAGCATATAAAGTGGACCTCCGATAATCTGACCGTTTTTAATATGAACACTTTTTAATTTGAACGATGCATGCCGTGCAAACTAAAAATTGCTTAAACGTATCAATAAACCGAAATGGAACGATACGAAACGGAATACAGAATCAAAACAAAGCATGCTACTAGTGGTCGTAAGCTCCAACTGGTATTATCTTCGGATTAAATCCCGATCAAGACTGTCCGGCTGCTTTGATGTCGATATCAGAGTAAATCAACACGATTGCAAGTAAATACTTTGTAGATCATCCAAACAGGGACGGGATTTAAAGTTAATCCGAGTTAGAGCTTACCGCCATAGTAGTTAACATTAGAAATAACCTCGTTAATATGCACAGAATATCGTTCAGATTAACGGGGGGCTCTTGTACAGTACAAGTCAAACGTGCACTTCTTTACCTAACACGTACGGTGTACGAGGAGATTTGAAATATGCCCTCAAATCTATAGGACATACTTCAAATCTTCTCGTACATCATACGTGTTAGGTAAAGAAGTGTGCGTTTGAATTGTACTGTCGTATTAATGACCCTTCGCTGATTTTTAACTTCTGTCTAATTTTCATGCCTTACTCTAACGGAACTATCTACCTACCCTCTTCTAAGACTTTTCTCTACACGGTAAGAAAAAATACTCAAAATTAAGTTAAAAAAAAACTCAACGTTGGGTTCTATCATTTGAGGTCCGCCGTTGAGTGAATCAGAAAAGCGGCGTTGGTTAAAATTTACTCAACTATTGAGTAATAATAAATGAACTCAAATATAAGTTTATTTTCATTGAGGTTGCTTTTATGCGCCTTTAACCATTTCATTTTCACAAGCGTTGATAGACGAGTGGTCAACACACGGGCCCCGTAATCTCAACGTCCATAGTTCGGTTCCAGTCTGCTCCGTTTTATTATTTTTTTGTCAACTTGGTCAACGCCAGGATTACTCTAAATTGAGTTTTCTTCTTTAACTTAATTTTACCTAGCCCCACGGAAGCCACGTGATGAGTAAAAGGAACTCAATTTTGGGTACTTTTTTCTTACCGTGTAGCTAATAAATTATCAAACTATAAGCTTCATATTAGATAGCATTTCCAACCGATTTGATTGTAATTTTTCCTTAGACCATTCCTTAGAACTTCAAAGTTGTTTTCCGTGCAAAAGCTAACAAGAGAATATTTAAATAATAAGACTTTTTTCGCAGGACTCAATATGTCCGAATTTCAGCTCCAATAAAAATGATTAGCCATAACAAACAACTATGCATAGTTTCACGCAAATCGGAGAGGGTCCAATCGAAAAATCTCAGCACGTTTTTCAGATTCACTTGCTGGCATTTCAAAACAACGAAAACCCTGTTGGAAAAGAAAAGTTTAACGTCATATCTTTGAATTTCAGTCCGTCCACAGTGCCATCTACACTGTCGGCTCGCTTCAAACGTTCTACGAGTACGTATCGGAGCAGAAGAATGCGTTGGCCTTGACCGTTGAAAGCATCCCGGTGGAAGACGCCACTTACCAGATCGAGTTGGCACTGAGCTTCATGAAGTTCTACATGGAACAGGAAAGCGATGGCTTGACGGATCAACCGAACTGCAAGCATCGGGTGATCATCGACATCCGTAGGTCGATATTCGAAATTCTGCTGGACTTGCACTCATCGATGCGTGCTACGTGCGTTGGATTTAGCTTGTACTTTGCCGGAGGGGACAGCAGGAAGGATTCATTCGTTGCAAAGCTGTTGGAATTCCCGAGCTTCGATAGCGGTGCGGATGAGTTGAATATTCCGGAAACTGCTTTCGATGTGTCTTTCTGCACGATGATTGTCTATGATTCCAGCGATCTGGAGTCGGCTACGGATGTGCTGTCGAAGGCTTGGGTGAACTGTTCGGTTCCATGGGTCATCCGTAACCTTTTGGTTCAGGAAACCGTTCAGGAAAAGTTTATTCAGCTGCTGGAAAGCAAACTCAAACAATTCCCAGATCATGTTTCATTTGAAGACGAACTGAGTAGTACAGTTGACAAAGCATCTTCAACTGGTCTTCGAGTGATCCAGCCAGCGGGCCATAAGGGTTCGTTAGCGCCCACTGTGGTGTATGGTTCGAGTGTCGATTTTTTCGTCAAAAAGCATGCTTTAGAACCGAGTCCGGTCGTGGTGATGAACGTGTTCAGGACTCCGAAGGAAGCAATCAGCATGGTGAATAAAAGCAACGGAGGTTCGGTTTCGCTTTGGACCGAAGAGCTATGCCTAGCCATGGAAACGGCATATTCGGTCGATGCGCAGACCGTTTGGGTTAACACCCATGCCTGGTTCAACCCGGCCTTCCCGTATACATTCCGCCGGTACGGTTACTGCTATGGATCTGAGTACGCTGTGTACGAAAAGAAGGTGAAGAAAGTGTTTGTTCCATCGACGGAAAATCCGAAAAATTCAACGGAGAAGAACAAAGCGGCCATCAGCGCCCTGGGAGTGGTGCCCAGTGAGGTGAAGAACCACCGGCTCGCATTTGTCAGAAATGAGAAAAACGTGCACTACGAGATTATCAGCAGCCCGTACAAACTCGACAACTACAATCCGCATCATCCATTGCAAATTGTCGAGGACTTTTGGGATAAGTTTGTGTCCATTGACAATAACGATAGGAATCTCGTTTTGGACACCGTTCACAACCAACGCAAAACTGTTGTCATTCCATATGGGGTAAGCTTCGCTAATTAACGGCTAATTGTGACTGATGTTGGTGTTTGATTGTTATAAGAATAAAGTGAAATAAATGTGAATTAAATATAAATTGTGTTTACTCCTAGATAACTTTTTACTTTTAATGGAGAAAATTGACTAGAGGAATGAGAAAGGCCGTCGGTAGAAAGACTTTACATACGATAGCAGTATTTCTCCAAGTTGAAAATAATAACATCAAGTTAATACTCAGGATTGCAATGGTATTCATCTCAGACTTTGTTTGTTCCCTTATCTCTTCTGAATTACAATTGATTTTTTTTTCGATGTTATCATATAAAGAAGACTGACAACTTTGCTAGAATCCAAGCGACAGATACAGTAGCGCTGCACCTGAACGGAGGTGGTAGCAACGCATAGAAAAATGAGCAAATACACAGTAGGTTGCGATAACGAGGGAAATGTCCATAATAACAAATCAGTTCCATCTTTGCTTGATATCTTATTCATATAGGACAGGCATGATATGATGGGCAGCCAAACGATTAGCAACTTTTCCCCGAAATCGCATTTAGAAAAATCCATTTAAATTCTCGTCTTTCTCCTGAGTAGTAGCGTAGCACATAACAATTCCTCATTGCGTCGCTGATCCTTAGAATGTGATTTCCTTGGGATTGTCATCAAAATAATTCCCACAGATCTCCAGTCAAAATAGCCTTGAATTCTTCTCAGAATGCCGTTCAAAAGTCTTGTAACCTCCTTAGAATTTACCTGCAGTTTTTCTCTAAATCAAAGTCTACTAGGGGGTAAGTCACTCTGCCACATTGTGCTAACACCCACACAGATACACTCCAAACACCTTTCCGCCCAGAGTTAATGTAATAATAAGAGTCCCGCCAAGAGTGAAGCCCCAGAAGTACCAATCGAACTGTCAAGCGGGGTTGTTCGCACAGCCAGTGAACTTCAAGTATTGCATTCATTACTGATAATATTTTAGGAATTTTAGATAAAAAACATTACAACGCTTTACTCAGTACATTGTGGTATTTAGAAGTTATACCAAGCACTTGTCTGAACATTTTTCAGGTTCTATAATTGTTTTTGACTCCCAGAAGCTCCGTTATTGACATCTCCATAATATAGAAATCTAATCAATCAATCCATTATCGAAATGAAATTTTTCACTTCTGAATCAAAGTCATCCGATGCTAACACGAAAAATTTGGTTACTGTTTACTCTGACGAAAAATGAATCACAAACAGTGCTGATTGTTCGCAGCATTTTCTCTTGGCGGGACTCTGTTCCGCCGCATAAGCAATTTTTTAATCAATTCTGGAACCACTGCCAAAAATGTTTATAGTCGATTGTTATTTTATTTTGAAAAATATACGAGAAAAAAACGTCGTACCGTCCTGCCGGGAATGAAAAACACTATGATTCTGGTTTGAAAATCTCCAATCCGAAGAAAATGAAATACAAAACCAGTTGGAATCTACACAGAAAAAAAAGTTGTTGAATATAACATCCAAACTGTTGCAACCAAGGCAATCGATCGGTTGTGTTATATAACGTTGTACGATGTATATCGATTTTGCGAACAAAGTTTCATCCATTGATGTTATATTGTATCTGCTTTTGGCTATTACATCATTATTACATATCATTATTACATCAGCTTGAATTACATTGAACGATATTACATTTTTTTTTGCTGTGTAGATGCTAAAAAAGTAAAGATGTCTTGCAATAAAATCAAGACAAACGCAACGGAAGTTTCTGATTGGTCTTTGGTCCTTCTTCCCGGGCGGCACGTGCCCGTTCGTCTTCCTCCTGCAGCGAGAGGGCCAATTCCCGTGTCAAGGACTAATCTTCGGACAAGTTACCCTGAACGCTGACTAATATTTGATCTCTACAGTTGCAAAACGGTTATGGAACTCTATACACAAAATTTAAATTGCTGAAAATCAGCAAAATTTAGCTGATATTGGACTTGATGAAAGATCAGCAAACTATCCAGCAAAATAAAGTTGCTGAAACTTTCAGCAATTAAAACTTCTGTCAAAATGAAAACCTTTTACTGAATCTTCAGTAAATCTGCAGTGAATGTTTTTTGACGCAACAAGTCAGTGTTATAGCTGGCGGTAGTTTTCACCACAAACGAAGCTGTAACGTTTGTGGTATAATCAGAAGCGTCGCGTGCCTAATTTGTTTATCTGTGCACCAAACTTTGTTCGTTACAGTTTACCACCACATATTGCTCCATGAATTCGAGGGATAGAAACTCAATTACTACATTAATCACTACCTAACGTAACAATTGAAGGGCCTATCATCGCGCTAACCGAAGTAGGAGGAATTGCAAAACTTTACTAATTCTCGTTTTTATCACAAGGCTAACTCTTTCGACTGAAGTGTAATAAAGAATATCCGTCAAACACTTCCGAAAACATTTTTTGATACAAAACAGTGTCAAAATCTAGAGAAAAATCATAGTCCGCTGGGTAGCAAATTTGAATTAATCAACTCTTTATTCATCAGAACAACACTGTCAGAATAAACCAGGGGAAGCTCATAAGTTTTGACAGGCGCAACCATCGGTAATTGAGAGATTTACAACTGAGAAGAAATTTAGAGCGAGCTTTTGCGCTCTCTTTCTCCATCAAGGGCCACCCACATTAGATCCGTTTGCGTTGCGTTAACGTAAATTTGACAGTTAGACAATAGATTTAGCTGTCACTTTGCCGCAACGCGTCCGATCCGGATCTATTGTACGTGGGCCTTTACTCTCTTTGTCTGCAATAAAATATCTAAGTGCACAGCGAGATCTGCACGCTTTGCACAAATGTTCTTCTAATTTAAACTCACACATTCAAACCGGTCTGCAGGTATGATAACGTCCAAATCGTATCAGACTGCTGTTTCCGTGTTGCTCCCGTGTGACGCGTGACTGCTGAAAGTTTCAATTACAACTAGTGGTGCAAACCGCCATGTATTATGGAAAATTTGTGATTTGTTTCAAGAGGTGATAGAAGGTCTGCTTGGCTTACATAAGGCATTTGACCATTCACAAACTTGCCACCCACCACCCAAAATGCTCGTTTTTAGGAGCACTATTTAACGAGTTTTGTCATGGTAGTGATATCGACATGCTTAGAAATCAATGCATTAGGGATTAGGCAGACCATCCGAACTGAACTGAATCCTTTTTGAAGCAAATCAAGGTCGAAGATTTAATTGACCCACACTATAAAATAGTGTATTCATGGCCACTTGTAGTCTGGATTAAAGAAGTACAGCTATTTGGTAAATATAAACGCATTTTTTTTAAATTAAAAACACCTGTATCACGTCCAATACGAAACCACCCAAAAAAACGATTTGAGTTGATCAACAGCTGAATAAGCAATTTTTTAGTTGAAGAAGCTTATTTTTGCCTGAATAAGCTCTTATTCAACATTCTATTTTTGTTGGGTATCGATTTAAAATTGGCTTACTACTTGACTAGCCTATTGGTCCCAAGCAAATCGATGAACGTACCCCATTCTAGTCGAAATTCTAGTACTACACTATGTTTGTTTTGATTCGCTATGAAAGTTTGACAGAAAAAATGAGGGGTTAGTAGATTTTCCTATGTTTCGAGGGGTGAATCGATTAGCTTGGGACCGAAGATAGTACCAGAGCTGAGCCAAAAAGTTGAGCACGTTTCTTCGGGACCTACTAGCCTTAGAGTTACCTCGTTTGTCTTACCTCTTCACTCCACCATGGTACCAGCGAGCCACCGTCTCTTCATGCAAAGATTAACAGGATCTTATGAGAATTTTCACTGGAGTGAAAGGGTAAGGTAATGTCTAACATGTTTCTCGCACAGACTGACGTTTGCTTATGGGATTTTACCATAAGAGTAAAGAGTTACAGAGTGACCGAAAAGGTTATCGATTTGCATCGCTGGGTAAAGAGAGTTTGATACACACTAGATGACAGATGGCAATGTTTATATTAGTTATCGACAAATTTGGTTCTTGGGAAGATGGAAGACTGGGAAGACTGATCGATGGCCACGATGATACAAATATTTACTATTATAGTTCTTTAAGTTTATGTCGATACGCTCTCGGCCATTTCTTAAGAATCCGCGATAGCAAGCGTGGTAGAATTCTCGAACTTGATACTTTGGTTATGGATATGACAAATAATTTTTGAATTCATGCTTGAAAAGATGTACATAAATTTCAAAACACCATATACTAGAGTTACTAGAGTGTATGGCCGGCACCGGTGGTGTAGTGGTAAGCGTGACTGCTTTCTAACATCCCAATGGGTCTGGGTTCAATCCCAGCCGAGGTCGGTGGGATTTTTCTGAGGCATAAAAATCTCTGGTCACGTCTTCCTTCGGAAGGGAAGTAAAGCCGTTGGTCCCGGCCCATGTGTGTTTGTGAATGGGTGCGATATCCTACGCAGGTGTGGAAGCTGCCTTCCTGCACATTCGGTTGCCGTCAATGGATGGCAATCGATGTCCGCCGGTGATTGGCACTAGATTGCGGAACAGAGACCGACGTTAAATAAAGTAAAGAAAAAAATATACTAGAGTGTGATTGCCAGTCGTTAAGAAGCTCATCAACAGCAGCTGTAGATCCGAGGATTAGCTACCAACAAAGAAATCAGTACACCCTAGATGGCACGGGATCGAAACCTAGCAATTATGCAGATACAAAAAAAAATCCCAAAAATATCAGTTCCGTGTATTGTTATTTTGATCTGACAAGAGAAATTGATATTTTGATCTGGCAACACGAATCGATATTTTTACATAGGTAACGATTAGTAGCAACATTTTGATAAAGATGTTTATAAATGATTCACGATCAGGCTTTTAGTATCTTTACATTTATTCATTAAATGGTGACGATCGCTATCGATTTTTCATATGAATGTCTTTGAAGATCGATATATCGAAAATTAAAGAAATTTATCGAAATGGTTGGTCGGGATCAAACACGAAGTATCATACACACTAAAATTATTTCACATATTTTCGTTAAATTTTACCGAAATAACAACAGCTAAACGTAACCTGTTACTTTTCATAGAATATAAATGAAAAAAATAGGAAAATTGTGAAAAATCACCGAACTGTTTATCGAACATTCAGCTGTTGAGATTTCGGTAAAATTTCACAGAAATCTGTGAAATAATCTAGATGTGTACAAAGGCTGATTCATCAGTATTTTCCAATGTAAGCGTAGGTACTCAATAGGGTGGACCCTAGTATTTATGAACGTTAGTAGAGCTAACTACTGCATTTTTTAAAGAAAAATCCTGTCTGCCCAACAAACAATTCTAGCTACAGACCAGCATATACAGGTGCAAATTAGCTACATAAGGCAATTTTTTGCTGTATAAGCTAGTCTACAGCCAAAATTGTTTGTTAAGTTGTCCTTAGTTTAGTGGTGTATTTTAAAAATAAAATAAAATATATACTTTCGCCCTAAAGAAGTAATCGTACGTAAAATGGCACATAGAATAAGATTTTCCATTTCAATCAATCAAATCTTGATATTAAAAATATTGTTTTATTTAAAAGGGTAAAAATTGTGAGAATCTTATGCGACTAATCACTGGTGTTCAGCTAATAATCCTTCCTTTCGCCGATGATCGTAAGAACGTGTCTTTTTCGTAGCTTTATGTCTCCGGGTTTGAAAGATCGTCGGTTGCAGTGGCTTGTTGTGATGCAAGGTGTACCGCGGGCATATTTTAATGGTTATATCATCAACTTGATCATAAATGGTATGCTGTGATATGAGTGACTCGGCTGTCTTAGACAGACATTTTTACTAACTGAGCAGAAAATCGAGGGATCAATCGTAGGTCCTTTCATATTCAGGTGGTTTGTAGTCACATTGCTTGCTCATCGAGTGTATTGCGTAACTTGTCGTTGATGTCGGTGCCGGATTTGAATGGTCACAACAAGAACTCGAACATAGATGGTGTGGTGTGATGTGAGGGGCTCGGTGGCCTTAGAGCGATCGTTTTTGCTTACTGAGGGTGTAGTGGGTTTAATATCAGGCTACTTCATATCAAAGATTTGTTTGTCGGTTTATTTGTTAATATGAACACGTCATTTAAATTCAGCGAACCAAACTCAAAAACATTATAAAATTTGAGAACACCAGTTTTTACACATTGAGGATGAATAGCGAGCCCCAAGAATCATTTGTCAGTTCTCTGTGTAATTACAGGTGATCTGGCGTTATCGGCGTAGCAACCGCGGCCGGTCAATCATGCTCATGCAACTAATGATTAGACTTCATCGTTACCTATACTCAGCAGTGTTAGTAGTAAACATTGGATAAAATTAAGGTTTTTTTTTTAAAGTATTCTGCATATAAAAATGTTACCAATATCTAACATAAATACAACCTTTCGGGGTTGATTTTGGACTACACTCAATTCTGTTTTCACGCGGTTATTTTTGTCCATAGCTTTGATCGTGTGATCTCAATTTTGTACCAAACTTCGTGCAATCTGTTTTAAAAAATCAGACAAATGCTTTGAAAAATATGGTGGCATTGGAATTTTTATACACATTCGAAAAATGAAAATCGCCCAAAAACGGAATAGAGCGTACTGTCAAAAATGTCTTGTGGCCAACTTAAAACTTGTGGCCAACCGCGCCCCATAAAACTCTCTTTCTCGAAAGTGTCATCCCTAATGTCTTCTCGTCTGGAATCAGCTCGCGTGCTGATTTCTGCGAGAATATCCTCTTGTGGCGCAGGTATTGTTTCTTCTTACGAAATCCTTCGTTTGTACCGTGTAGAGTGTCACACCAACCGAACAGTCCGTAGCACTGGTTAAATCTGCAAAAGGGGAATTAGAATTCAAATAAAAGGCATTATTTTTTAGGGTTAATAACAGAGCATAAATGCAGCACTTATCTGTTAAAATCCCCAGCTGAACTTAACTATGCGCTATCGAAGGGAAAAGGGAAATCTGCTGGCCCCGACGGCCTCGGCTACCCAAGTCTAAAACACTTGCCTCCAGCAGCGAAGCAAATCTTTCTGCACCTTCTTAACAAGATCTGGCTCAACGAATCCTTACCTAAAGAATGGAACCACAGCCTAGCGGTGCCAATTCCCAAAAGCGGTTGCAATCCAGTCGACCCCAGCAGCTACAGACCAATTTCCTTAACATGTTGCACCAGTAAAATCATGGAAAGAATGGTAAATCGGAGACTGATACAATTCTTGGAGGACCACGGCCACCTTGACCATCGGCAGCACGCCTTCCGTCCCGGTCATGGAACAGGAACCTACTTCGCCACATTGGGGCAGCTACTAAATGACGCCAAAGAGCGAGGGGAACACACAGAAATCGCAACACTCGACCTGTCGAAGGCCTACAATCGTACCTGGACACCGAACATCATCAAACAGTTACAGGATTGGGGTCTATCGGGACATATATTGGCATTCGTCCGCAACTTCCTCGACAACCGGACCTTCGAAGTATGTATTGGAGCTCACAAGTCAAAAATTTCCGAGAAGAAACGGGGGTTCCTCAAGGCTCAGTCATCGCCGTCACTCTTTTTTTGGTAGCAATGAACGGGGTTTTCCGTAACCTGCCGAAGGATATATACACTTTCGTATCCGCCGACGATATTGTCCTCGTCACCGTGGGCAGAACACCGAAGGCCTTGAGACGGAAGCTTAAAGCGGCAGTCAATGCTGTAGTAAGATGGGCCAGCTCAACCGGATTTCAACACTCCGCGGAAAAAAGGGCCGTAACGCACATCTGCAGTTCTAATCACCGTACCATCCCCAGCACGATCACTATCAACGGTAAAACAGTACCTTTCCCGAAGACAATTAAGATTCTCGGCGTACGCATTGACAGACACCTTACCTTCAAAAACCATTTCGTGGAAGGTCAAAGAGAACTGTAAAACGCGGATAAATTTACTAAAGACGCTCTCTAAAGAGCATCGCTGCAACAATCGAGATATAAGACTGCGAGTCGCAAAAGCCATCATCCACAGCAGGCTCCTCTACGGAATTGAGCTTACCTGTAACGCTTCCAATCATCCAACTACAATCCTCGGTCCAGTATACAACAGCTCGCTTCGAATTATCTCTGGACTTCTGCCATCCACACCCGCCATCTCCACCTGCATTGAGGTCGGGGAATTGCCTTTCTTCTTCTGTCTAACCACCGCCCTATGCAAAATAGCTGTTTGCTTTCTAGATAGAACCGCTCCCTGCCCCGGAAATGTCTATCTCCTTGACGAGGCTAATCGACTCCTGCGTCAAATATCAAACCAGGAGCTACACAGCAAAAAAATAATTTTGATATCACATCAAAGTGGATGCACTACAATCATGTCGAAAATTTCATGTAATTTTTATGACCACATAAATAAACAAATGCAGTGAAAGCAGCGTAATGTCAGTTCATGCATTGTATTAATGATAATTTTGTCCTTTTCAGCAAGTAATATTACACCATATTTTCGACATGATTGTAGTGCATCCACTTTGACGTGATATCAAAATTATTTTTTTGCTGTGTACCCCTGGTTGCTTTACTGCAGTGGAACGGGACTAAAAATTGGGCCGCTCCACAAGTGCGCTACGACAAAACCATTAAAAACAAATTTCGGACAGGAGACAACTCATCAGCTCTTAGAAACACCGTTGTAAAACTACAAACCATAAAATATGCTAACCATACGATCCGTTTCACCGATGGCTCTAAGGCACAAGCATGACTGAAGGAACTTCTTTCCAGCACTACCGTCTTCCGGATATTTGGTCGGCTTTTTCCGCTGAGGCCGCAGCTATTACCCTAGCAACGTCTAGTCCATCCACCGGTCCAGTAGTAATTTTTTCCGACTCCGCCAGCGTTCTATCAGCCATATGCAGCCCGACCGCAAAGCATCCCTGGATTCAAGAGATACAGAACAGCAGTGTTGGAAAAGTTCACCAAAACTCACTATGACTCGCGAACTTTTCCCTTGGTGAACTTCGTGAAATATCGCGAGCTTTTCCAACGCTGCAGAACAGAATCAATAACAACATCGTACTCGTTTGGATGCCGGGACACTGTGAAATCACAGGTAACGAAACGGCAGACCAACTAGCCGCGTCTGGAAGATACGCTCCTTTTCTAACACGTGAAGTCCCCGGACAGGACATCAAACGATGGGTTTCAAGTACGGTTCGCGCAGCCTGGGTGGCCGAGTGGAACAGCCTTGGACATCCTTTCATACGGAAAATCAAAGGTGATACGCATAAATGGGAGGACCTTCCCATTCTAAAAGACCAAATAAAAGTTTCAAGACTCCACACTGACCATGCGCGTTTCTCACACAGCATGGGGGACAGTAGAAACTTCAGAACACTGTGTGAGACTTGCCAAAGGCGGCTTTCCGTTGAACACGCCATCATCGAATGCCCGGCATACCAGTCCCATCGGGAGCTCCATGGTATCCCCAACAGCATTAGGAACGCCTTACAAAATGACAAATCCACCACATCGGCTCTTATCTGTTTCCTAAAAGACACTCAATTATACGACCAAATATGATCCCGAAAAAATCTAAGTAAGGACAGCACACTATACGGCCCCGCAAAAACTGCCACAAACCAATGCTACAACTCCCACACACGTTGAACACCCTGCTTTCAACAACGGACATGATCTGGAGACGAACAACGATACTCTTTCCGACAGAAACAACGTAAAAAAAACCCAAATATCTAATTACTGTATTATCGTAACTATTACTCAGGGGGGCCTCTAACGCCCTCTTCTATGAAATAACCGGAGATGAATCAGCCTGCGGCTGAAAATCTCGATAGTATTAAAAAAAAAAACTGGTAAAATTTAAAAATATAAATGTTAAGAAAAGTCAGATGCACGTTAAATGCATTTGACAAGTGGTTTGACTTATGAAAGGCATTTCAGCTGTCGAATGTCGTTTACTAGGTAAACGTTAATCATTTTTCAGTTACCGTTGAATGTACTGCAACAAGCATTTGTCTTCTTGATAACTAATGTCGTTTTCGTTTTTGCGGTGTAGCACTGGTGTAGTGTAAGCAGGAATAAGCGCGAGTCTTTGATAGCTCAACATCATTTGTTTGTAAACAAAGGTGCATTCTATATCTACACCCTAAAATATTTCGGTGTACGGCAGTGTAGCACCGGTGTAGCTACACCGCAAAAACGAAAACCACATAACTCAATTGTTTCGCAAAATATTCGAAAAATCTGGACAATTTTCGTACATAACTTTCCAGCTTTTCTAGATGAGCTAGAAAAACAAATGAATTATTTAAAAAGTGTCATAGGGTAGAGCGCTACTTCGTCATAATCGCCCATTTCCGTTCTATCGATCAGAAAAGATCAATAATATCAATGATTTCAACGTGCACAAAGCAATATTAGGTTTTTCCTATGCGTTAGTTCATTAGCTACAACATACATCCTATTAGAGCGCATTGTATGAATATTTACGCTCATTGTTCTCAAAACAAAAGAAGCGCTCCTAGCGAATCCCCTTTTTCTACGTTTATCCGTAAGACGAAGAAAATCTAATGGCGTTTCAATGCGTTAGGACGGAATTGAAACTCGTAGAACGAATTTAGAATCAAGAAGCAGTGTTAGATTTTAGACAATATCTCAACAATTTGTGATTCTTTATCAAATCCAACGGTACGTATGGAAAGGTGAATAAATTTGCAAGTCATATTTGACAGAAATATTACATTTTTTGTTTAAACTCGTTCAGCAAAGGGAGGTAAAGCGCGGGTTGTGCTTAGTAGGACGGAAATTAGATCAAAAACCCTACCTGACATGAGTCGCAGAGTCTGCACAAGTTGAATTTTCATACCAGATTCCAATCCATCAGCATTCAAGAAACAATTCGATGCCAATATTTCATTAAGGTGGAACTGCTTTTGTAAATAATGAATTCAATCGCCGATTTCTCGCGAACCAAACATACCAGCTCACTTCTGCAAACCATACATACCAACTTGTGAGGAAACATTCCCTTCGCTTGACGGTGCTGTAAGTTTGCTTGTGTGAGCTTTTAATCGCGAGAAATCTATGCCAAAGTTGATACTGATTAAATTGAAGATATATTTAGATTGAAATCTCAACTTACTTCATATGATGATAGTCATGCATTTCGGAGCTTCCCAGTACCGGTACGTGGTAGCCGGAGTGGTCCACCAGAGTGTCCATCATGACAAACACGAACCAGATGGCCACCGTCACTGGATGGCTGGACATCAGGGCAGGTCCAGCGTACACCGGTAACATGTCGCTGATGACGAACTCAAACGGATGGGCATACATGGCGGCCCAGGCGATCGGTGCCTGCCATTGGTGGTGCTGCTTGTGGACATGCTTGTACCAGAACTTTGCATGTAGCAAACGGTGACTGTAGTAGAAGGTGATTTCCCAGGTAACGATGCACACCAACAGGTCTCGAACGATAATTTCCAACGAAGGGAGTTGTCGAATTTCCGGAGCCCCGCCGAGCATCCATATCCGTGCGTGGTATGTCAAGTAGGAAGTTGGAATTCCATACACCACTTGATTGACGATGACAGTCTTTAGTAGATATTTCAGTTTGTTCAAATCGAGTGGCTCATTTGTTCCAAGTTGGTTCTTGTATTTGCGCATAAATTCCGGCTTGTTGGTGATGTCCATGAAAACGAATATGCCACCGATGGTCCAGAAGAGAAGGTAGCCCCAAACAGTGAGGCAAAAGAGGTAGATAATGTCCGGGTCATCACCTGGGTGAAAACAGGAAGGAAACAACATCTTGCGATCAATCATGTCATTTGAGGCTAAACATTCAAAGTTTAAAATGATTTTTTTTAACATATTCACCAATGATATCGAGGAACACATTCCATTTGTTCTGCAAAAACGAGCTGGCATTAACACTACCGATTACGCCTACCGAAACATTACCATAATGATCAGACATTTTCAGTTTGCATTTGTTGCATGAATTCGACACTTTGATCAATTTCTTAGAAACGAGACAAAAATCCACACTAAATCACGGTACCGTCAAGAAACTTCACGGCGATTATAATTAAAAGCGTTGTCACTCACATGGTTGATCGAAAACAACTGAAATGGTAACGTGATCGAGGACATAGGTTTACATCCATTACTCTTTTGGGATATATGTACCACAGACAAACAGACGTAACTCTTCATTGTGTATTTTCGTTCACGCATTTAACGGTTAATTTGAATATTATCAGTTCCGCGAACTACTCGTCGCAGCGCTGGCATCGAATCATTTTGACGTTTCTATATATTATATAGAACTTTTATGCAATATTGTTTGCGAGTTAGCGAGCAAGCTTGTTTTCCGCGAGAAACCCGAGAGATGTCGTTACTGATGTCCTATGTTTTAAGATACTATGTTTTTAAGAAAAACTTTTACGAGAGTTACGTCTGTTTGCCTGTGTATATACGTTCTCGACCGGTATGATGAGTTTGGATGCTGTGTTTTATTATTGTGTAAAGGATTTTTAATTCGATACTGTTGTTGTTGTTGATGTTTATATACTTTTCTTCCTTATAGGGTTACGGGATGTAAACTGTTTTTGCGTGCGTTGTGCGACGCCATATTCTCTCGCTGTTTTGTGCAAGCTGAAGGAACAACAACATGTTTTTGAGTTTTTAGAAAGAAGCGTCACGTTCAATAAGTTAAATTAATATTAAAATGAAGAGAATTGTGATGTGTATAACAGTGATGCAGAGTGAGTTGGAAAAAAACAACCACCAATTTCATTCCAAGGACTATTTTCGAGGGGCCAAAGTTACATCCATCTTCTTCTTCTTCTTCTTCTTCGTATTTCAGCTTATTGAAAATAGCATATTAGCTTATTGCGTGCTCTCAACTTAGTGTTCTAGATGCACAGTTATTAATTGCAGAGATGAACTAGCCTCAGGCTAAAAATCTCTAAAATAAAGATTTAAAAAAAAAAAAAAAAGTTATTAATTGAGAGCTTTCGATGCCTGCACCATTTTTCATTGGTATAATTGTGTGGCAAGTCCAATCATACTTCTATGCCCAGGGAAGTCGAGAAATTTTCCAACCCGAAAAATTCCTAGACCGGACCGGGAATTGAACCCAGCCACCTCCAGCATGGTCTTGCTTTGTAGTCACCGATTTCACAAGTATGCAATTCTCAATGGGTATATGTTCAGGTATTTTTGTTGTTTTTACTATGGCCGAAAATAGTCCTTGGAATGAGATAGCTCGTTGTTTTTTTTTCAACTCACTCTGCGTCACTGTTGTACATTGTACATGTGAACATCACAATCCTCTTCATTTTAGTATTAATTTAATAACTAAGTTTAATTATAAAAACCAAAAAACACGTTGTTGTTGTTCTTTCAGTCGCTTGAAATTTTGAACTACACACTTAGAAATTTTCGCCGACTTCGATAATTTTTACCGAAATCTGAACAGCTGAACTGTTCGGTAAAATTCGTTTTAAACAAGGTTGAACATGTTTTGAAATTATTTTCTTAATTCAATGGACTTTAAAATGAAGGTCAAAGTTTTACCGAACGTTCAGCTGTTCTGATTTCGGAAAAAATTTACCGAACACGAAAACAAAATCTTAGTGTGTATGTCACGTTAAATTGAGGAAAAATTAAATTTCCTGTACCTAATGCATTGCTTGTCACCACCCCCCCTCCATACTTAAAGCAAGACATAATATATGCATCTCCCCTTATTGCTGAAAAAGGACATAGTTGCTTGATGGGCCGAGTTGAGGGGCTAGACCTAGTTTACATCCCGTAACCCTATCAGGAAGAAAAGTACATAAACATCAATAACAACCATATCGACCTAAACATTCTAGACACAATAATAAAAACACAGAATCCAAACTCGTCAAACCGGTCGAGAACGTATATCCCAAAAGAATAACGGCTGTTAACCTAGATCACGTCGCCATCGTTCAATTGTTTTCGATCAACCATCTGAGTGACTGCGCTATTAATTATATTCACCGGGAAGTTTCTTGGCGGTGACGCATGTTCTTGAATTTGTAATATATTAATTCCATATTTCTAGATAGAGCTGGAATTGGGGCCTAACAGCTTTTGTAAACAATGAGTTCTTTCGATGATTTATAGAAATTCAAGGTGCACCCATGCAAACCAACATAACTGTCGGGTATGGGTAGACTTCCCCTACCTGATGGTGATATTGATTTGCTTAAGCGAGCCTTGAGTTTCTAGAAATCATCGACAGAAGTTATTGTTTACAAAAGCTGTTACGCCCTAATTCCATCTCTATCTAGATTTAATGACGTTGTTGACTGAATCTACGTTATGTTAAGTATGTATGTTTTCAGCTATGTTGGCACATAGTAATGTTTAAAATTTCCCTTATGTATTTTGGTGCACAGCTTTTATAATAAAATCGCATATAGTTTGATATTCATATCGGTTTTCGGAGCTAGTTACTATAAGCAACGACCATGTCAGGCCTGAGTAGAAGCAACCGGTAAGCACTCGTGTTTATTTCAATTACCGTGGGGACGTAATTTATGATTAGCCCAGGTCCTTTTCAAATTGTATCATTATTTATGTACGGTCCTGATATTTGAAATGACGTTTTACATTCATCTAGTGATGGCCGATTTTCATTCGAACAATCGATTAATCGATTAACGAACCGAAAAGTAAAATATTTGTAATCGGTAATATCATGCCGATAAGCATCGACTTCCCCAGAGGATCATCACCCATCGTTTCAAACATGTGCTGCACTCTCATTGGTGAAAAAATGACAGCACAACGGAAAAAATAATCGATTAGTTTTTAATAGAGTAATAAAAAAAATGGGACATCTCTGATTTAGGTGTGATTGCTTTGATAAAAAAGAGCGCAAAATTTCATCTCTACTGAGGGCACAGAGAACCGACATCCGAGCTTAAGAGGAAGCTTACCGGCCCGAAAATAAAAATAAAATATTTTCTGTACGTTTTTATTTTTTTTTTAAATATTATATCAATAAAATCAATAAACTAGCTCTTGCGGCCCATGTTTTGATCGGTTTTAAACAAACAATGTTTTGCTCACAACAATTTTGACATTTATGTTAAGATGACGTCTGTCGATCATCGACGTCGATGGGCAGCGACACTAGCGCCACCACGATATTGCTAGTTTCAAATGTCTATTCAAAATAGCAGTTACATTTCTTACACACTTTAGGAATTTGACTTGGATGTCTGTTCTCTGTGCCGAGGGGGCAGCAAATCCACAAAATTGCCTTGCATACGGGGGGTATTCATTGGATGAAAGGGACCGTAAAAGAGGACACTAAAATAGAAAGTTTTTCTTCCGACAGTTTCATCTTAGTATTCTTCTTTGGTAGAAGCTCGTTCAGAGGCTTTCGTAGGATGTCAAATATAAAATTCAAATGTGTTGAGCTTCTTTCAGAAACTTAAGGCCCAAGTGCAATGACAGTGGAAGCGGAACTGCAGCGGTAACGGTAAAGCCCGATCTGGGTAAGCCTATTTGTCGGATTGAAAACTAGTTAGAATCAAATCGACTTCGGTGAGGCATCTTGATGCCATTTCTGACAACTGTCAAATTTTCCGTTTCCGTTCCGCTTTCGCCCACATTGCGTTTGGGCCATTAGGCCCACTTACACTAAAATTCATGATGTTTTCGAAAATCACATTTCAATGTTTGTTTTGAGGTGATATTACGTTTTTCACTAACTTCGTAAATGTAGGAAGCAAGGAAATCAATAGCGGATGAATAATTTTATTTCTGGGCAAAAGTTTGAAAATCCTATACTGGGGTACGGGCAGTATCGTCAACCGGTGAACATTCGTGTTTATTTCAGTTACCATGGGCACGTAGTTTGTGATTAGCCTCGGTCCCTTTCAAATTGTATCATTATTTAGGGGAATTTACGTATTCTCGTCAATCTAAGCAGCGTCTGCACTTCTACTAGCATTTTCTCAGCGTCACGCACATATATGATCTGTCTGTTTGTTTACATTCATCTGCTGCTTGCTTTTCTATCCATTCCAATCGACAGAATTTTTCAAAACGTTTTGAAAGCGTTTTTACAACGCTCCAAACTTCTCAGGTGAGTGTGACTATTGTCGGCAGCCTCTTTTTCTTCGGCAACCTTCCCATTAGAACTGCGTGTTAACCAGCTGTTCTATTATCGGCAACTCGAAATCAACCCCATTTTGTAGTGCGTATGCTTTATTTGAAGAAAAATGTAGCATTACTGGATTCCCTAATAAAAAATTACCATAAACGAACGATAACCCAAATTATTGAACTATTCCACAAATGGTTTGGATGATACCCAGAACACGTCGTTAAGCAAATTAACCATTACATTTTTATTAGGGTTGCTCGATCGTTCAAATATAATCAGATTGAAGCTGAAAGGCTAAACAATCGTTTGGACACATTCAGGGAAGTGCGTTGATGGGAAAACATAGTGAAATTAACGTTTAAATTTTGGTTGCCGAAAACAGTCAATGGGTGCCGAAGCCAACATTTACCCTATTTTATTTTTTTTTTCTTCGAACTGTCATCTGGCTCAGACCTATCGATCCATAAGGCTCCCTTTTTATGGCACAGACCTGTTGGTCCATATTAGATCCATAAGGCTATCATTATTTATGTACAGTCCTTATATTTGAAATGACGTTTCACATGCATCTACACGGTTAGAAAAAGTACCCAAAATTAAGTTCTTTTCACTCATCTCGGCACTATAGTGCAGGGACCCAAAAGTAGGTAAAGCGGGTCAAAGTAATTTTCATTTACTTGTGTGCAGTTCGTATGGAATTTTCCACTGGCTTTTCAACCAAAAGTAAGTTAGTTATACCCAACAGTAGGTGAATATGATTTTACTCAACGTTGGATTCCCACACTTTACTATCCCTGTTGGGTGGTTTTGCTCCTCCGTTTTTGACAACATTAATAGGAGAAAAGGAGACAAACTAGTCAAAAGTAGGTAAAAGGGAATTGGCCGTTGGGTACTTTTTTCTTACCGTGTAGTGATGGCCGATTTTCATTCGAACAATCGATTAATCGATTAACGAACCGAAAAGTTCGCCGAAAAGTAAAATATTTGTAATCTGTTATATCATGGCGATATAAGCATTAACTTCTCCAGGGGATCCATCACCGATCGTTTCAAACATGTGCTGCACTCTCAATGGTAGAAAAATGACAGCACAGCGAACAAAAAATAATCGATTAGTTGTTAATCGAGTAATTAAAAAATGGGACATCTCTGATTTTTGTGTGATTGCTTTGATAAAAAAGTGCGTCTCTCTACCGAGGGGGCAGCAAAACCACAGAATTACCTTGCATACGGGGGGTATTCATTGGATGAAAGGGACCGTGAAAGAGGACACTAAAATAGAATGTTTTTCTTCCGACAGTTTCATCTTTGGTATCGTGCTCCACTGGTAATCTGAGTGTTTTAAATCTGAGCACCTTTTAGTTGGAACTGTTACTGGTATAAAATCTACCTCCGAATCCTAGACCTGATAATAAAAAAAAAAAATCTGAAAAATGTTTTCCATGAAATTTTTCACGTGATGCCGGCCAGGATGGGTCAGAATTCGTTTAAGCAGGCGATGCGACCATAGTACAGAGTTGCCAGATTGTTTTAAAGCTTATCGGTATCGAAGGTATTAAAAAATCGGTATTTCCGATTTATTTAATTTTATATTTTTGCCGTTTTTGAAAACGAAAATTTTAACGATGGTGATGACTGGGATTTGAGGGGAATTGCTTTGTTTGACGGCTTTCTCAGTCTTAAAACACTCTTTATTTTTTTTAATTTAATTTCTTAAATTATCGTTGTCCTCAAGTAGTGATCAAAATTGTGACCAAGTAGTGTTTTTTTTTTCAATTAAATATCATTAAATGAAACCAAAATATGGAAAATCAGTCACAACAACATCTAAAGTATTGATCATAACGACAAACAATATTTCCCTTGAAAAAAGCCTCAATCTATGGTCGAAATTTCGGGCAGATTACATCGTAGTCGCTGCATTGTTTTAAGACTGAGAAAGCCGTTAATCAAAGCAAAATTTTAGCTTTTGAACTATGATCGGAAAATTCCGGAAGAAAACTGCGGGGAATGGAGCTGAAAAAACATCCAGAGAAAGATGAAAGAAGCTCTCCTGGATGAAGTTTAAGAAAAGCTGGAAAAACCTCCGGGAAACTTCCAAGACACGAATTGAGAAATTTGTGGCGAAAATTTAAATAAACTATCGGAAAAAAATCGGGTGTCACACCCAAAGCAAGCCAGAAAAGTTTCGGAAACCAAAAGTAATTATCCAGAAGTAGCCATTTCCAGGGAAAGCTAGAAGAAGCTCGGAAAAACCTTCCAATAGAAGTCGAACAAAAAAACCTTTGGCCAAATGGTCAAACTTCCAGAAGAAGACGAAAGAAATTTCTGGGAGAATGAATTGAACTTCCTTGAGAATACGAAATAAACTTGCTGGAGATGCTGGCAGAAACTTCCTAAGGTAGATTGGAAGAAACATCTGAAGAAAGTCGGAAGCCAGAGGCGCTTACGGAACAGTCGAAAGAAACAAGGACATAATTCCGGAAGAAAGAGATTCATGATCCAGAAAATTTTCCTGATATTGAAAAAATATCCCTGAAGACTCCGGAATTTCCCTGAAGTTTTCAGAACATTCCTGAAATGCACTTAGGAATATTCCATAATTCCTCGAAATTCCTTAAAAGTTCTTGTAATTTTCCTAAAATTAGGGGCTGTTTTGGAGTTCTCTGGTCATCCTCGAAGCGCTCGGAACTTCCCTGATTATAATAAGACTACCAGAATATCTCTAATCATCTTAGAAGGTCTCTGGACTTTTTTTTGAAGATTTTGAAATCTCTTAAGGGCTTTCACAATATTCTTGAATTTATTGTAACATCAACGTTGAAATTTCGTTGATCTCCCGATTTATTTTTATTTTTTAAAAGTTATCTACACTGCCATTAAAAAGCATAGAACTTCCCATAAAATGTTCTCACAATGATCTAATGTTCATGTAACTTCCCTTACGTTTCCTAAATTTGCATTGACATTGCTGAAGTTTTCGGAAATTTCCTGAGTTTTCGGAACTCCTTTGTAATTTCAGCAATTTCATTGAAATTAATTGATCTGTCCTGATGCTCTCTGAGCTTCATTAAAGTTCCAGAAAACCATTAAATTTACCTGAAGTTCTTTGAACTTGTGAAGTCTCCAAAATATTTATGATGTTTCCTTAAGTTCACTGGAGTTCGCTGGACATTTCTGAATTTCCGGGTTTTCAAATTTGAGCAGAATTTAATGAAACCGTCTTTTATTTATCAAAACTTACACAAAAGTCTGGACTTTTCTGAAGTTTCAGAACTTCTTAAATGTACCTGCAGCTAGTGTGGATCCGCAATAAAAATCTGATAGCATCCTTGAAGCTCCGGGAAAGTTAAAAAACTGGCGGGAGAAGATGAAAGGATCATTCGAGCGAAGGCTGAAGAAGCTTCCAAGGTAAGGTGGAAAAAAAAAATCCAGGACAAGTTGGATGAAACTTCAGGAAGTTTAAAAATGAATAAAAACTCCCGGAAGGTCAATAATGTTTAAAATATATTTCTCGATTCCCTAGGAATAACAGGAAAGAGTTATTCCGACATTAGTCGAAAGATAAGGCATCTTTAGAGATAATTGTTTAGAATTTTGAAGGCTCAAAAAATATGAGGTATTCAAAAAGATACAAGTCTCTAATAATTTTGAATATTAAAAAAAAAAAAACGGTATAAATCTGTATAAAATCTTAAAAATCGGTATTCTGAGGAACCTTATCTGTATATCGGTATCTAGTTTGGAAATCGGTATAAATACCGATAAATCGGTATATCTGGCAACACTGCCATAGTAATTGTTTTGTTTTGGAGGAGCTTGGGAATAAACCCACGATCTTCTACTCAGTACGTAAAAGCGACAGCCGCCAAGCTAGCCGAGCTCCTCAATGTAAATTCCAATCCTGTTTTAAATCAAATGTACACACACAAAAAGGAACGGTCTCACCGGAATGATCCAATTTACTCAAGCCATGAAAAAAACATTCAAAATAATATGCACTTTGAGGGGCACTTGACCAGTTCTAAGGACTACTCCAACGATGGTTGATAGCCCTGAACCGAGCTGGGAGATGACAGGTGGGCAGGAGCTCACGGTCTCCCAGTGTTGGTGAGTTCTTTGCCGTTAATATTCACGAAAAGTTCACTATTTTGCTATACAGAAATTCAAAACAAAAATTTTTATCTGCGGATTTGGTCAGTTTTTAACCTGTTTCATACGACCGGAAGGTGTATGCTGGTCACAAATGCCGTGCCAAACTGATTTCCTACGCAATTAATCAATCTTTGATGTGAATTTCGCTAATAAACACGAGGAGCATTTCTTATAGCAAACTTGCCATAACAAAATGGGCATGGTTCATTTAAGTAAACAAACTAACACTTCTTCCGACTGTGGCACCTCTCGCCTAGGCACTGAATATAAAACGCACTCACGACGATTGGGAATATAAACTAACCCGCTGGAAAGGGAGCAAATTTCACAAATGGTTGCGGATGCGGGTATCATTGATTTGCTCAGGTTTTGGAGTTTGAAAACTGCAATATGTTTAACTTTATAGTCTTATTGTTTTCCGTTGAAAAATCTTAGAATTGGAGGTTGGGTTTCTCAAATCTTCCTTACATTATCTTGTTAGACTTTCGGTTGTCTAAACTGAAGCATAAAAGCATACCACGATTGAATCTTAGTGAGTCTTTATTTCCACAACATTCATCTACCTATAACACAGAGGTAATGTGTTACCATCAGACCATCAGTAAATCTTACCCTACAAGCTTACAAGACTAGTTCTTTCTTCCTATACATTACGATTTTTTCACAAGTGACATTCCATATCGCTTGCGTATAGATGCTGTTGTTGCCTTGCAAACTGTTATATTCTCAGCATATTGGTTACTATGACTTCTCTAGTTTAATGAAATGTCTATAACTACATAGCTATTTGAGCAACAACTTCACCATAACGTTACCACCATTCGTGTTTAGTTAAACTAGTTATGTTTTTCTTCTTTTTTTTTGGGTGACAACTCATCATGATTCCTCCATCCCTAAGTATAATACTCCAGTCTACTCGTCTGGAATCAGCTCACGTGCTGACTTCAGGGAGAATATTCTCTTGTTCCGTAGGTGTTGCTTTTTCTTGCGGAATTCTTCGTTCGTACCATGCAGGGTGTCCCACCAACCGAAGAGTCCGTAGCACTGGTTGAATCTGTTAAAGAAGGGAAAGTGAAGCAACATTCATTAGTCAATTGGTATAGATTAGGCACGGATTGAGTGGAAACTCGAATTGTTTAGCAATGACAAACAACCCGAGCAAAGTCTGAGATCAAACTGAATTCTACACGAAACGAAAATCAATTATTTAATTCATGTGTTTCACTTATACATTTTTGCCAAAGCATCAGCCTTATACATTCCATAAGACAAACCACATAGGTCCTATTAGAATGCATAAAAGGTATGTGTGACCGCTTATACATTTCATTTGACACATGATCTTTATTAACTTTTTGCAAGGCGTCTGCTTATTAGTTGACTTATACATTTTATGAATAATCAGCAATGGAAATTTGCCAAAAGGTATAAGGATATTTCTATCCGTGTAAATTTGATGTTGTGATGTAGCTTTTAATGATTACTCAGGTTGCTGTATTTTCTTTCTTTTTTTAAAAGTACTTCCAGGCATCGGTTGGTTCACCTCGTAAGGTTGCTATCGTTTCGGTCGATTTAACGGTTAAAATATCGACATCGAGTGCAAATAAATCATCCTGTGACATCAAATTGAAAACTAATTCTGCTATCAGTAAAAGTAAACTGAAAACTCAATTTGATGTGCATTTTTCCCGTTGATAACAAAACGAGTATTAACATTACCAAGGCAATAAAAACAAAACGGTAACGACATTTTCAGTTGATGATTTTCTGTAAAAAGACGCTACTGAAAACCCAAAACCTACAGAATGTTTGGATGTAGATTAAAAGTACAGCAAAATGAATACAACATTTGATACTACCGGTACATTTGAAATCCTTTATTATCCACTAGTGTGTACGTTAAACGCTGTCCAGACTGGAGAGTTATAACATGTTATAACGGTTGTCAACTAATTGCAACACATAAACCACCATCAAGATAGCGCTATAACATGTTATAACTCTGTAATCTGAACAAGGCATTAGACATATTGTTGGAAGTAGTGCGTTGTAGTATCTCAATGATGCGCTATTCTTTTACTAGAGTGCATTAGTATTTTTTGACAGTGTTACAACTTTTATTAAAAAAAAAATACACTTGTTTAAATCGAAAATGATAAAAACACTTTTAAATCAAAAACATAAGTTTAATTTTGAAAATGTTAATAGCTGAAACTACAAAAAACTACAGAAAACTTAAAATTTGATCAAGCATCATTTTTCTAACAATGTTCATCGTACAGAACGAGAGTAAAATCGATTTTCGCTAGGGGGTTATTCCGGTTTACACCTGCACGATAATATCGTATGTGTCAATTGCAAACTAAAGTCTTATTTTGATTTCATTTTTTTGTCGACAACAAAATTTAATTTAGGTTTGCTATCATTTTGATGTTGTACTTTGCTCGGGAAGGTAAACCTTAACGCAAAGTTGAGTCAGATGCTGACAACCATGCCCCAAGCAATCAATCAGAGTAAGGGGAATGGATTGATTTTTGCTAATGGATTGCTATTTGACGGTGGTCGTTAATTAAATATTTTATCGATAGAATGGTTTTCATAATTTTTTTTTGCCAAAGAGTTTCTTCGATACAGATGGTTTACTCCGATTGATTGTTTGGCTTATCTGTTCCTCTGAGCATTGCTAGTTTTTACTATATTTTAATACAACTGAGTAAAGTGACGCTCTCACTGAGTTAGTTTGATTGACCGTGTACAAGTTACATTGGCGTGCTAAATATCTTGCATGAAATTTTGTTTGCCAGAAATACACGGCCATTGAGACCTACTCAAAATTGAGTCGGGTTTAACACGATTTGACAAAAAGTGTGGTTGATCATAAACTCACTACAATTTTCGTCTAATATGAGTAAAAGTCACTCATTTTGAGGAAAATTTTACTCTGTAAATGTGTAATCCCCCTTTTGAGATAAATCCGAGTTAATTTTGAGGAGGTCTCATGAGCTGGATGGAGAGATACTTGTACAAAAGAATATTATTGAATAGGATCAGTGTTGCCTGCACGGCCGATGCACAGTGGTTTAAAAGCGCTAAACGAAAACGTTTTAATTTAGGCGTATTAGGGGAAACAGTCCTATTGTTGTGGTACGTTAGGGAGTCTTCCATACACAACAATAGGCTTCTAACGCTGCTAACGTACCGCAACAATAGGGCTGTTTCCCCTATGCGTCATTTTGTCTTTGGAAGTAATATTCTACCTGTTATATTATTGATTATTCATGGTTTTGTCCCAAAAATATCACTTTTCTAAGACGAACATCTCAAAGTCGGGCAAAATTGGACAAACCAAACTACAAAGAAAAAAATTCTGAATTTTAGCTATTGCTCAAAATCTCCCTTCGTTTAATTTTGAGCTATACTTGGCATAAACAGCGAAATCGTTTACAAGCTCGCATACAATATTGATAATTTATGGGATATAGTGCTTAAATTTACACGAAATATCGCGTAATTTTTTGCCAAATCTAGCGTTAATTTTATGTGCGCTGTATCTCGCAGAAATTTACATGAATTTTTCGAACGGTGTAATTACATTTGAAAGAAGATCTTAATTGTTGCTTATTCCATATAAAACTATTAGTTTTCAATATCCTGATGAATTTGGGTGTCTTAGTGGAATACCTGTATAAAGAGAGAAAAGGATTAGTAATTTCCATTAAATTCCACTACCTTATTTGCTTAGGCGAAATACACGTATCTGTCAAGGATAAGCAAATAAGGTAGTGGAATTAAATGGAAATTACTAATCCTTCTCTCTCTTTACAGTCTTCAATAGTTTTCTTCATCGATATACATACAGAGAAAGTACATGAAAATATATTGGAAACCGATAGAAAATATTAATTTGTTAACACAAAAATCCCACATTGCTCAAAATCACCCATATTTGAGACTAGTGTGCAGAATGTTGTTAATCATTCTGCACGGGAAAAAATCCGATCTCCGAAATGAGAAAAATGACTCATGATTTCATGAACACGGTGTATTTTCATGTTATGAAAATACACCATGAATAATATTCATGATATCATAAGCAACTTTTGCGTAACGCAGCAACCATTCCCAAAATCATGAATCATCCGAGTTGAAATCATGAGCTAAATTCATGGGTTTAACTTTTAACCAAAAATGCAAAAAGAATAAAATAAAGCATCAGACTAGATTCGAACCAAGAACCTTGAGATCCTTGAACTCATATTTTCACCACTAGACTATCAGTACTTGTATAAGTTGGAAGACAAAAGGCGTATAAGAGATACCTATGTAGTGCGGTTTATGAAGACGGTTTGCCAAGTACGTGTAACGCTTGTAGTGGTCTTGATTCCACTGCATTATGAAATCATGAATTTCCATGACGAAATCATGAATCATTGTTACGATTTCATGGGATGGCAAGTTTTTTCATTTCATGATTTTTTATTCATGAAAATGGAATCGGATTTTTTCCCGTGTGGCAACTGACCACCTTCACTCAAGCGCAGCGCCATTGTATCTGTCGCTTGGATTCTGGCAAAGTTGCCAGTCTTCTTGATTTGTTGTCTTCGATAATATGCTAGCTTTGGTTCTCCAGTTATAGTGAATAATTAGAGACCTCGGATTTGAATAATAAACACCATACCATTGATAATGTGGAGCAAGGTGAGTGTAGCTAAACGATCTAATGTGTCAAATTCGTGATACAGCTTTTTTATGCAGATCTTACACTAATCCAAGAGTCAGTCAATGAAGAAGGTGAGGCAATTGCACATCGAAAAAGGCTTAATTCAACTCGATCAATTTTTTTAAAAGACGTTTGCCATTCCACATTTTCCACATTATACGATATGGTTTGCATTCTGCCAGCGCCTCAGGGTGAATTCACGTTCGTGTTTATTTTCTGAAAGCTCATTGCGAATACCAATCGCTACATACTGGATACCACACTAAAGGATACTAGTTTAAATTTCATCCCGGACAAGTCACGAATGAACTAAAATGTGCTATTTAAAGTGACAAAAGGGTGCCCGACCAACCATTTCGTTAATTTTCTTTAATTTTCTATACATCGATCTTCAAAGCCATTCATAAGAAAAATCGATAGCGATCGTCACCATTTCATGAATAATTGTAAAGATGCTAAAAGTCTAATCGTGAATCGTTTATAAAGATCTTTCTTAAAATATTGCTACCAATCGTTACCAATGTTAAAATATCGATTGTGTTGCCAGATCAAAATATTGATTTCTGTTGTAAATTTGCATAATTTCTGGGGTGTACTGATTTCGTTGTTGGTTGCTAATCCTCGGGTCCACGACTGCTGTTGATGAGCTTATCAATGACAGGCAAACACACTCTAGTAGGTATGTGGTGTATTGAAATTTCTGTAAATCTTTTCATACATGAATTCAACATTTATTTGTCATAACCATCAACCAGTCAGTCATGTAGGTGTAATAGAGGTCAAAAAGGTATCAATTTTCCTTTTTGGGTTCCAAATGCCGAGAATTCCACCACGCATGCTATCACGGGTTATTCAATATATAGATGTAAACTTGAAGAACTGCAATGGTAAACATTTGCAATGCAGCAAATATTGTATACAAAAGCCCATCTTTGTAAACAACATTGTTTACAAGTTGCTTGGTTGCGTGAAATGAAATTTAAGTTTACGTGAATGAATGTTTACATCACAATTAAAATTCAGAATTTTCATCTGTGTAAGTATCGATCAATAAAGATTTTTAAATGTGTACATCAAAGATTTATGTCAGCAATTCTTTACTTTAAATGTGCTATTAAAGTAAAGAATTGCTGACATAAATCTTTATTTCTGTATAAAGAACTTTGAAGAAGTTTCACGAACGGTTGGTCCAACGATGCCATATATACAGACTTCTGTACACGAAAAAAGTGGTCGCCCTTTGTATCCAAAAAATATCAAATGAAGTATTTCCTGAAGCTAGAACTAATGCAATAACTAGTTAATATTTGTAACTATTTTTATATCTAATGAGA